GACGTCCCTAAAAGTGCTGTGGGGGCTGCGCCCTTTGACTGTCTCAGTGACTGCACACATGTGCACGTGTGCTGGCCAGATGCTCACTCACTCACGCAACCAGCCTGGGCCCTGGGCGTGAGGGGGGCCCCAGGGCTCCAGCTTGTGCTGGGGGGCTGCTTTCCCACCCGTGCAGCTGAAAGTGGCTTTTCCAGACCGTGTCAGAGCGTTCGGCTGCCTGGCCCCGAGCCGCTGTGGACCGGCAGCTGCCGCTGGCCTTGAGCAGTGTCCCTGGGGAGGAATACGGAAAAGTGCCTGGTTTGGGCCTGTTTATTTTACAGCCAGCCACCTTAACAAATTCATTTATTCGTAGTAATTTTGCAGCTTGCTCTCGGGTTTCCATCCGCCCTGCACATGCTGAGGCAGATCGGACAATCAGCGCAGAGCTACAAAGGCGCCCACTTGGCGAAGTGGCAAAGGCTGACCGGCAGAGTCACAGAAACGTCCTCTTTGTAGCCCCTTGCCTTCATGTTTTATTTTGGTGGAGCCTAAACGCCGGAGCTGGGATTCGCTGTTGAGAGAAGAATCTCACGTCTGCTTACTTTGGGGTCATGAACACAGCGGTCCCATGGGCAGTGGAGGCAGCCCTGTGGTGCTGGTGGCCACGCAGGGGGCCCACAGCCAATCAGTCAGCTCCACACCTCGGAGGCTCGGCGGCTCAGCACCTGGCCCCCCAGGCCCCAACAGTGTCCCCAAGCCTGGCGTCCATGGGGCTGCAGGGCAACTGGGGCTGGTGGCCCGGGTGGGGCCTGGGGAAGTATTTTTGTGGCCAGATGATGCCTGGAAGACATCTACATACTGGTCCCCAGACCTGTGGCTGTGTCACTTCCCATGTAAGAGGGACAAAGCTGGGGAGAGTCCTGGTCCTCTCCAGAGGGAGGCAGGGGGGTCAGAGGCAGGAGGAAGAGGGCGAGAGGGCAGGGAAAGGCCCTGCGACAGGGGTGCGTGGCCTAGGAGCCGAACAGGCCCAAAGGCTGTCCCGGGAGCCGGGCGGGAACCGGCCCAGCCGACCCCTGCATCACAGCTGGGCGAGGCCCAGTCCCTCGGGAGGGTCAGAGCCAGGTGGTCAGTGGTGCCCTGGGGCTGGCTGCAGCGACCAGCTCCTGTGAACCGAGGGTCCCGCTCACTGGCCTCACTGCTGAGGGTCACCCTCCCGGCTGCATGTTTTGGCAGCTGGGGCTCAGCCCTGTGGGCAGTTCCGGGCACCTGACCCTGAGCTGAAGGAGCCACAGCAGGGGCCCTGGGGTGTCTGAGTCCACCTCTCAGACTGGCCGGGGTCCTCCAGGGGCCAGCTGGGGGCTGTGGACCACACCCAGGCACTGTGTGCAGGGACTGTGCCAGCACCTGGCACTGAGGGGCCACCGAGTCAGGAGGTGGCCCCCTGTGTGCCCCAGGGTCCTCCGCATCTTGGGAGCACTGAGCAGGAGGCAGAAACATTTAAGGAGGGGATGCGTGCCCCCTATGGCCTTCTGGTGCGGGCATGCAGGGCTGCCCACCTGAAATGCCCCCTGAGCTCTCTGGCAGCTATGCCCAGCCTAGGGCTCCCCAGGCCACCAGGACTCATTCTCTCCCTCTAGTAGGAGAGCTCCTTGCACGGGTCCTCAGTGCCCGGTAGGAGGTGCTGTAACTGCTGGGCACCAGAGTGGCTGCTGGGGTAGGACTGACTCCGGAATTGTCTACCCCCAGCCTTGCCGCAAGCCAGCAGGGGCTCAGGCACAGCCAGGATGCTTCACACTGTTTGTGGCCTGGCGCTGCTCCCCTGGAAAGGCGGGTGGGTGACAGCCCTGCACACGTGGCCACTTGCTCCAAAGCAACAGTGCACTGCCATCCCCAGGCTGTGGGGGGCAGTGGGGCCACGTGGGCAGGGATGGAGACCCGGAGACCAGGCCGATGGGGGCCGCCACCCTTGCAATCTAGCTAGTGACGTGCATGGATGAGGAAATCAGACAGGGCCTGCCATTTGTTGTCCTGTCTTGGGCTTGTCTCACTGAGTGTAATGTTATCCAGACCCCATCCCACAAGTGTGTCTTTAAAGTCAACTCCTCCTGTGACTGACGTCTGAACTTTATGACACGAAAAGCAAAGAGCAGGTTCTCACTCAGAACTGTGAGCAGCACATCCCAGACAAGCCAGCGCCCAGCAGGAGGAGACAGCCCTGCATGTGATGGGCAGAGGGGACAGCCCTGCGTGTGATGGGTGAAGGGGACAGCCCTGGGCAGTGGTGAGCACTGGGAGGGGATGGCCCTGGGGGGACAGCAGCCTGCAGGAAGTCAACAGCAGCATGGTGCTGGCCCAGTGTCACTGCAGGGTGGCCTGGGAACTCAGAGACTTTGCCCACTCAGTTCTCACAGATGCCCAGCGACTGAGGGCCGTCACTCACTGGACGTGCCCTGGATCAGGCAGGGGTCTCTGTAAGACAGGGACCCCATAATACCAAGAGCGTGATCCCTGGACCCTATGCGGGGCCAAGATGGGTCATGGAGGAAGAGGATCTCCACTCCCAAAGGCCCAGGTCCCCATCCCCCAGACCCCTTCTATCTGGAAGCTGAGGGCCGGGCCCCTCTAGATATCAAGGGGTCTGGGGGCAGCCGGAGGAGGGGGCACTGCCTCATGCAGACCCCCTGAAGAAGCACTACAGCCCTGGGCTTCCTTCCAGCCTGGCTCTATGGACCAACAGCAGGAACCACAGAGCCATTTTCCTCTCATCGCCCTAGTAACACAATGATCCTTTTTCCCCCTACGCTCCTCTGTGCCGACACAGAAACAGCCACTGATGCCAGTGCTGCCAGGGAGAATGCTGCCAGGGTCTGATTGGGGGGGGCCTGTGTCAGCCACCCATGATCCCTGGGGCATGCCTTGCTGCCCAAGATCACCTTCAAAAAGCTGGGGGCCTTTAGCCAGACGGTCAGTGTGCATGGGGTGCACTGGAGAAGCATCCTGCACATTGAGAACATTTCAATCCCTGCAACTTTCAAGTTAAATTCTAGTGGAAAAACCACAACAAATAGAACAGCAAAAGGCCCCAGTCTCGCTCTTCTCCACCGCCCTCCACCTCATGTCTCGAGCCTGTGTGGCTACATCCACTGTCCAAAGGTGCTTCCTCAGAAAAGTAGATGCAGCATCACCATATGAGCCAAGCTCCTGGGTATTTCCCAGAAGAATCGAGGGCAGGGACTCAAAGAAAAGCACTATTCACAACAGCGAGAAGCAGGCAGGGCCCACGAGTGTGGTCTGCACCAGGGGAATGTGGCTTGGCTGTAAGGGAAGGGACACCTGCCACCACGTGGACGAGCCCAGGACACACTGCTCAGCACAACGTGCCCACCACCAAGAGACAAACGCTGTGCGACTCCACTCACGTGAGGTCCCTGGAGGAGCTGATCACAGAGACGGAGAGTAGATGGTGGGTCCGGAGCTGGGAAGGGGTAGAGTCAGGGTTTGAGGCCAAGTTTCAGTGTGGGAGGACGGCAAGTTCTAGAGATGGTGGTGGGGATGGTGCACATCGTCATGAATGTAGTTAATGCCCCTGGACAGCAGGCTTTAACATGGTCAGAATGGTGATTTCATGTGTATTTTACCAACACACACAAAGTGGAAACAAACTTCTCCCTTCCTGTGGTGGTGACAGCATGTCCTGTTGACTGGGCACCTGCCATGTGCAGCGGGCCCCACCCCACCTGAGGGAGGGATGGCGCAGGAACCACTGCATCAGGAGCTGCCAGCTCTGAGAGATGGCCCTGTAACCTGACAGCTGACTTGGTGAGGCAATACCTGGGCAGCATGCAGCAACCTTTTGGGAATGATGGAGGGGGTGCTGTGGGGACTGCCGGACGCCCTGGGGTGATCCTGCCGGGACCGCCTGACCTCCCAGGTGGCGTCACACATTGAAGCAGCCTGACCTCTGGGTCCCTGCTTTCCCTCCTGCGCACTGTATGGAGTTGCTGCTGCTCAGAAAACCCAAACACAGTGTGTCTTTGTAGGAGCAGGATCCAAAACTTGGACCTAGTAGAGACAACTGGAAATAACAGCCCAGGGACCAGATCCCCAAGTGATGCAGAAAGCCGAGCCGATTTCCTAAATGTACATCTAAGTTTAACCTGCAGTCTTGTCAGCAGCGAATGTTCCAGGAGGAGGTGGGCACTGGCCTTTGCCACACTGGGGAGCTCAGCATAGGACTCTGGGGCTCCCACCAGAGGGAGGGAGCCTCTGCCCAGTCCCATAGGTGAAGCAGGGGGCCGAGGAGGGGAGAGTCAGGCTGCTGCCCCTGCTGCCCATGAGGAAACGCAGGGCAACGCTCAGCTCCGACCTCCAGGCACCAAGGCACCCTCTTCTCCTCTAGCCCCACCCACACAGAACCTTTCCTGGACGTCCAGGGACACAATCAGGACATGAATGCTGACTGGTGCTGGGTCTGTCCTAATGCCAGAATGAGTTTCTGCACACACTCTGTGAGCAGTGGGCATTTGCACAGGACAGACAGAGGGGCAGGAAGTCTCCGGAAGGGCTGGGAGCCCCAGCACCTCGACAGGGCCAGTGGGGCTGGTCTGAGCAGATAGTCCGCCCTGGGAGAACACAGAGGTGACGTCCCTCTGGTCCAGCATGAGGGGAACTCCCAAGGCCTTTGGATCACTGCAGGTTCTGGCTCCAAGGGACCAAGGTTTGAGGGCCCGAGTAGGAGACATTCCACGAAGCCCTGCTGTTTGGACGCACCCTCACTGAGGCCTTACAATGGGCCATAATTTGGAGCCTCCGTTGTCGGTGCACAGCCCATTCTGATCACAGCCGGGCACACTCAACCAGAGCAGGCCGATGTGGGTCCAGCGCCTGTGGTGTCAGCACCGGGGGAGTCTAAGACCACTGGTCAGCCCGTGCCCCACTGCCTCCTGGCCCCGCAAGCCCAGTCGTAGGCCCGGTTTCCTCTGCGTTTCTGTCCCGGCCGCCCCCACCCAGGCCATGCTCACCCGCTCCTCCTCCGCGCGGATGTCCGGCATGGTGCTCAGGCAGAGGCCGACGGCCGTGACGGCCACGAAGCCGACGGACACGCAGGCGAACAGCTTGCCGGCGAGCCCGGAGCGCGGGTCGTCCACCACGTCGCGCAGGCGGCGCCGGCCGCGCGCCAGGCGGCCCCCGGGGCCCAGGGCGCACGCCGGGCTCCCCTGCGGCCCGCGGCCCTCGGGGCCCGCGCGCCCGGCGGCCGCCTCCTCCTCGCGGCGGCGCAGGCGGCGCAGGCAGCAGCGCTCCAGGCGCGCCTCGTCGATGCCCCAGTAGGCCAGCTCGTCGCGGAAGGCCAGCGCACACGGGCCGCGGAGCAGCCGCAGCCTGCCGGCCCGCAGCGGCGCCACGATGGCGCGGAAGGCGCTCGGGCTGCGGTCGAAGAAGAACTCGTCGCGGCCGGCGTCGTAGTCGTCGCACACGCGCAGCAGCTCCTCGCGGCCGCGGCAGGCGCGCAGGCGCTCCAGGCGCGCGAGGGGACAGCGCGCCAGCGCCGCCCAGGCCAGGCGCACGCGGCAGCCGCCCACGTTGATGATGACGAGCCGGGGCCGGGCCCCGCCCGGGGGCTCCGCGTGCCCCGGGCGCCCCGCCATGGCCCCATGCGCCGGCCGGCTCGGGAGGCTGGGCCTGCAGGGGGAACGCAGAGCGTTAGGCGCCGGGACGCCCGCGCCCGCCCGCCCGGGGCTCCCAGCGCGCCTGCGCACCCGACACGGACAGGGGATCCCGAGAGCGGACCCCCGGGCTTTCCCGCAGACCCCGGCCGGCCGAGCGGCGTCCTGGCCTTAACTGCGCTGCGTCAGCCTGTTACCTGCTGGCGAGCAAATAAAGGCCAAGGGGGGCAGGGGGCCCGAACAAGCGCAGGCCGAGGACCTTGTTAGGAACCAACCATGCATTTACGAGTAAATGAGAAACGCCAGCACCATATGTGATTTTAAGGGCTTTTTTGAAAGTATGGGGTTGGTGCGAAGCACGGGGTATCTCTTAGAGGTCGTATTTAGGCGTTGGCAGGTGAAACAACACCTAGGATTCTCATTAGGTAAATCTTTCTGGAGGTCGGTACAGACCAGACACTTCCCGTGACTGTCCAGCTCTTAGACGTGGGCCATGGGTCCACTGGGGTTTGTCATACTTACTGCTTCTCTGCATGTTTAAAAATTTCCAAAATAGATAGAAAAGGTTTTGTTGTGCTTGTTAAAAGCTTCCAGGTGCTTTTGCTGCACAGCCCCGTTGAGAGGCACTTATCCACAGAGAGCGAGCTCAGTGCCGCTCCCACGGTCAGCCTTGACTGTCCGGGGTGCTGTATTAGCTGCCCATAGAAATTCTTCATGCAGCCCACAAGCCTTCTGAAGGACGTGCAGATGGTGTGTGCAGTTTTTCTAATAGTCGGTCTGTGGCCCCCAAACCACCAAGCATTTAGGGGACGGAAGCAATCTTTGGAGCCCAAGAATTGCTAGCCGAGATCCATTGGAAAGAAGTGGGGTATGATTCCCCTGCACTCATCGCTAGCTGGTGGGCATGAGCATTTGGGACATTCATCTAAGATTGCTTGGGCAAAGGTAAGATTTCAGGTGAGTTTCTCATTTCAGTGATGATTCACTTTATCCTTTGGCCAAGGTTCAAGAAACAGGAGAAACAATCTGCTAAGTGAGTATTTCATCATAACACATGCACGGCCAGCAACAGAATTCCTAAATGTGTTGGCCTCCTCAGCACTGTTAATGGGACCAAATCATTTTTGGCCTGAATGTGGACATTATACCTTTCATGGCATATTTGGCCACATTTGCACTTTACTTCCCCTCTTCTGCCCCATGCTGGGTCACCCTCTTTAAGTCTGTGTATCTGTTTGGGGACAAGGTCACTGACTCAGGAGCCGTGTCAGAGCCAGGCACGACAGCGTCAGTGACTCTGGTCTTCACGGACATTCCTGTGGTTTTTTCCCATCCTGCTGAAGGGCGAGTCCATCCTCCAAATTTCCTCCAGACACCAGAGCGCTCGAGGTGTTTCTGTGCTCGCTGAGATGATGAGGTAAACGCTGCAGTCCGGGCACAACTTTGTGTGATGTCAGCAGGGGCCAGAGCGAAGGAAGTAGGCCGACCCCAACCCGGGGCCGCAGGTGCAGTGGACCGCACAGGTGTGAATCTGGGTCGCATCTACTAGGAGGGAGCCTGAGAGGCCAGATGAGGCGGGATCTGCAGGGGGAGGTGCAGTGGCAGGCCAGCGTTCTCAGCGTGGACTGAGGCCAGCAGAATCAGGATCGCCAGGGGAACCTACAAAAGAGCATCTTGGGGCCCTACTGAAAATTCTGACGAAGATGGCATAACGCTCCAAACGCCCATCCCTCACCTATAGCAACGAGGAAACTGGTAAAGCCCTAAGAATTGACCTTTCTTTGAGCTCTGGAGACCAGCCAAAGGCTTCGGCCACCAGGGACACTTAGGGAAGAATAGCTGAGGCTTGGGAAGAAGTGAGCCCTGTAGCACTGAGCACCCCTGCCCCAGCCCAGCCGTAGCCCTGAAGACAGCAGCCCGCATTCCAGGCACCAGGACAGCTCCTGGGAGGGGAGCCGAGGAACCGAGTGGTCCGTCTTGACCTTTCTGGCGGTCCCTGAAGGCCCGGCTCAGGAGGCTTGCCTTTATCCCCCCTGACGTGGAACTCTGCCACAGCTAAAGTGGCCATCTGGGCAGTCTTTCAGAACTATTTATGGGAAAATATTTTACCTATTTGTACCCAAGGTAATAGATGAAGTGGGGCAAACAACAGACTAACTGAAAAGCCTGGGTGGAAAGGCTGGGAACAAGAGACCTGGGGAATATTTGCTCCAGGAAATGCCCGGGAATCTAAATGCCACCTGCAAGCCTGGGGCCCCATGTTGCTCAGGGAAGACCTCTCCCTCATCTCCTCTGGGGACATTCACACTGACAGCAGGACGTGCCAGGTAAGGTGTGGGCTGCATCCTGGCTGAGGGACGAAGGGCCAGTCCACAGGAAGAGCCCATCTGCAAAGACTGGTTTGGTTCTGGGCACCTGAGTCACCATCCAGTCACTTAATGGGGCAGAGATGTCAGCGGCCACACAAGTCAAAGTACAGACTCTACGTAGTTTAGTTCAGAGAACTCACCAAAACAAACAGAAGCCCTGGGGAGGTGATCCGACCAGAAGAAACATGGGGCAAAGCTTGGGTTAGGTAACGGTTCCTGGAATATGTCAAAAGCATAAGCAACAAAAGAAAGAATATAAGCTAGACTTCATCAAAACGCGACCCTTGTACACTAGAGGACATTATTAAGAAAATACATGATAACTCGTAGGATGGGAAAATTTGCAAATCATGTGTCTGATAAGGCCCTAGTTTCCAGAATATATAAAGAACTACAGCTCAACAACAAAAAGACAAACCACCCAATTAAAAATGGGTGCAGGACTTGAATTGACATTTCTCCAAAGAAGATACAAAAATGGCCAGTAAACACATGAAACGATGCCCAACTTTGTTAGTCATCAGGGACATGCAAGTCAAAAGTAGGAGATACCCCTTCATAACCATCAGCATGGTTATAACCAGACAAATGGAAAAAAGTGCTGGTGAGCATGTGGAGGAGCTGGAACATACACTGCTGGTGGGAATGTAAAATAGTGTAGCTTCTGTGGAAAAGTCTGCCAATTCCGCAAGAAGTTAGTTACCGTATGATCCAGCAATTCCACCCCGGGTATGCGCCCAAGAGAAATAAAAATGTGTTTTCATGCAAAAATGTGTATGTGAATGTTCACTGCATTAGTCACACAAGCCTACAGGTGGAAACAACCCTACTATCCTTCAACCAATGGATGCATAAGCCAAATGTGGCCCCTCTGTATCCTGGGGCATAATTAACTCGGCCATGAAAAGAACAAAGTACTGGCACATGCTACAACACCGGTGAACCTTGGAAACATCGTGTAAGTGAAAAAGAGAGAAAAAGCCACCAGTCTGCGTCGAGAAGCCGACCAAAATCACAACTCGCACAGGGCCCCCATGGCCTCTGCCGGCAGCCACACGCACCCAGGACCAGGCTGTAGATGGGAGAACAGCCAGTAACGATGAAGGACGTGACAGAAGGAGTTGAAAACACCTGGGCAGAAACCCGGTATGGACACAGCACGGGGTCTGGAGGAGGGACAGCTCTGGGGTGGGCGAGCCGGTGGGCACACTCCTGCCTCGGGACCCAGCAGAAGACAAGCCGTGCAGGAGAGGCCCTCGTGGGAGGCGACAGCACGGTCACCCTGTCTGTTCACCAGGAACCCCAGAGGCAAACCGGAGGACCTAGCATTGTCCAGGTTGAAGAAGAAGGCCCTCCGGTGCCAAAGAAGGGGCTGCAGCCCTGGCATCTCTGGCTTCTCCAGCTCCCAGTCTGGGATGTTTGAGGTAAAAAGAAGACCCAGGATCTCGCCGCTGTGCCGCCGCCCAGGCCCTGTGGTCCCTGGCCGCCCTGGCTTCTCCTCCCCGCCTTTCAGTCTTCTCACCTTTGTCTTACGTGTAACGTTCTCAGTAGGATGAACGGAGAAATGTATGTTTACGCCATCTTCACCCAAGTGGAAGGGCCCAGAGATTTTTGAGGCAAGGTATAAAATGTTTGCTGATCTTGTGATTTATGATAAGGTCATTTTTAAAGAAACTACCTGCTCTGGAAACAAGTTAAGAATCAAGCAAAATCAAAGTAGAGTGATTTTTTTTCTTCTAAAATATTACCCAATTTACTTAAATGATATGTACTGCATATCTAGTGTGTCTTCATATCTATGGCCACTGCATATCTTCCTAATTATTGGGAAACTGTGTCCAACGCTGAATATTTAAGAACTCAGAAGTTTTGTGTGGCCAGTGACTCTAATTTTTAAACAAACCTTTTTTCTGAAATTATTCTTAGAAAGTCACTTAAAGTGGCTCCAGTATTGCCAGGATGACTCACTTCACTTTAATTCTTTGCAAATCTGAAGGGAACCTCTGGGCCTCCATCCGAGGAACGTGTATCCTGAGACCCACAGCCCACCTGTGCCTGGTGTCATGGCTGGTGATATAGTTCAAGCTCTCACTGCAAACCCCTGTGTCTGACCTCGTCTTTGGGGATTCAACATCAAAGATCTTAGACCAGGGTTAATTTACCGCAAGTGTTTATGATGAACAGATAGTTCTATTGACTAAGTAAGAGGGAAATATTCGATCCGCTCAGAGAATGGTCATGAACACCCCCAGCATAGCTTGAAAGTGCATAAGCTAAATACCTTCTCATTCTGCTGGAAACGTATTTAGCCATTAGGAACCAGCTTCCCACTTAAGAACTGTTTCTCACCAGAAGCGGCTAATGTGTAGTGGGAGGCAGGTGAAGTCCAAGGTGAGACCAGGCACCTTGTGCCAGAAGGCAAAGTGCTCCAATGGATGGGTGTGCATCAAAAGGTCAGGCATCAAGCATGAAAGTCCCCTACTGCAGACTAAAAACTATGGCTCAATTTACTGTAAACGTGAGGAAACAAGCCCAGAATCGTACTGATACAGTGATGAAAGGGAGAGACAGAGACAGAAGAGAGCTTTGCCGTGGTTGGAGGACAAGGCGCCGGCATAGACCTGACTCCCGGGGGGACGGCACGGGGCTATGAGGGCTCCGCAACCCTGCAGCCAGACGGCACAGCTGTCCGGACGTCATGGGTCCTGGCTGCGGTGCAGTGTTCCGGTGTCCAGAGAATTCGGGTGCGAGATACACCACACAGAAACCCCACCGAACAGCTGGCCTGGATTCCTCCCAGAATCAGTGACATGGGCAGTGAAAAGGTGGGAGGAAACGTTCCAGAATCTGGAGTAAACGAGACTGAGAGGCATACCAACCAAATGAAGTGTATAAACCTCAATTTTTCTGGGCACCTGAGTCACCATCCAGTCACTTAATGGGGCAGAGATGTCAGCGGCCACACAAGTCAAAGTACAGACTCTACGTAGTTTAGTTCAGAGAACTCACCAAAACAAACAGAAGCCCTGGGGAGGTGATCCGACCAGAAGAAACATGGGGCAAAGCTTGGGTTAGGTAACGGTTCCTGGAATATGTCAAAAGCATAAGCAACAAAAGAAAGAATATAAGCTAGACTTCATCAAAACGCGACCCTTGTACACTAGAGGACATTATTAAGAAAATACATGATAACTCGTAGGATGGGAAAATTTGCAAATCATGTGTCTGATAAGGCCCTAGTTTCCAGAATATATAAAGAACTACAGCTCAACAACAAAAAGACAAACCACCCAATTAAAAATGGGTGCAGGACTTGAATTGACATTTCTCCAAAGAAGATACAAAAATGGCCAGTAAACACATGAAACGATGCCCAACTTTGTTAGTCATCAGGGACATGCAAGTCAAAAGTAGGAGATACCCCTTCATAACCATCAGCATGGTTATAACCAGACAAATGGAAAAAAGTGCTGGTGAGCATGTGGAGGAGCTGGAACATACACTGCTGGTGGGAATGTAAAATAGTGTAGCTTCTGTGGAAAAGTCTGCCAATTCCGCAAGAAGTTAGTTACCGTATGATCCAGCAATTCCACCCCGGGTATGCGCCCAAGAGAAATAAAAATGTGTTTTCATGCAAAAATGTGTATGTGAATGTTCACTGCATTAGTCACACAAGCCTACAGGTGGAAACAACCCTACTATCCTTCAACCAATGGATGCATAAGCCAAATGTGGCCCCTCTGTATCCTGGGGCATAATTAACTCGGCCATGAAAAGAACAAAGTACTGGCACATGCTACAACACCGGTGAACCTTGGAAACATCGTGTAAGTGAAAAAGAGAGAAAAAGCCACCAGTCTGCGTCGAGAAGCCGACCAAAATCACAACTCGCACAGGGCCCCCATGGCCTCTGCCGGCAGCCACACGCACCCAGGACCAGGCTGTAGATGGGAGAACAGCCAGTAACGATGAAGGACGTGACAGAAGGAGTTGAAAACACCTGGGCAGAAACCCGGTATGGACACAGCACGGGGTTTGGAGGAGGGACAGCTCTGGGGTGGGCGAGCCGGTGGGCTCACTCCTGCCTCGGGACCCAGCAGAAGACAAGCCGTGCAGGAGAGGCCCTCGTGGGAGGCGACAGCACGGTCACCCTGTCTGTTCACCAGGAACCCCAGAGGCAAACCGGAGGACCTAGCATTGTCCAGGTTGAAGAAGAAGGCCCTCCGGTGCCAAAGAAGGGGCTGCAGCCCTGGCATCTCTGGCTTCTCCAGCTCCCAGTCTGGGATGTTTGAGGTAAAAAGAAGACCCAGGATCTCGCCGCTGTGCCGCCGCCCAGGCCCTGTGGTCCCTGGCCGCCCTGGCTTCTCCTCCCCGCCTTTCAGTCTTCTCACCTTTGTCTTACGTGTAACGTTCTCAGTAGGATGAACGGAGAAATGTATGTTTACGCCATCTTCACCCAAGTGGAAGGGCCCAGAGATTTTTGAGGCAAGGTATAAAATGTTTGCTGATCTTGTGATTTATGATAAGGTCATTTTTAAAGAAACTACCTGCTCTGGAAACAAGTTAGAATCAAGCAAAATCAAAGTAGAGTGATTTTTTTTCTTCTAAAATATTACCCAATTTACTTAAATGATATGTACTGCATATCTAGTGTGTCTTCATATCTATGGCCACTGCATATCTTCCTAATTATTGGGAAACTGTGTCCAACGCTGAATATTTAAGAACTCAGAAGTTTTGTGTGGCCAGTGACTCTAATTTTTAAACAAACCTTTTTTTCTGAAATTATTCTTAGAAAGTCACTTAAAGTGGCTCCAGTATTGCCAGGATGACTCACTTCACTTTAATTCTTTGCAAATCTGAAGGGAACCTCTGGGCCTCCATCCGAGGAACGTGTATCCTGAGACCCACAGCCCACCTGTGCCTGGTGTCATGGCTGGTGATAAAGTTCAAGCTCTCACTGCAAACCCCTGTGTCTGACCTCGTCTTTGGGGATTCAACATCAAAGATCTTAGACCAGGGTTAATTTACCGCAAGTGTTTATGATGAACAGATAGTTCTATTGACTAAGTAAGAGGGAAATATTCAATCCGCTCAGAGAATGGTCATGAACACCCCCAGCATAGCTAAAAGTGCATAAGCTAAATACCTTCTCATTCTGCTGGAAACGTATTTAGCCATTAGGAACCAGCTTCCCACTTAAGAACTGTTTCTCACCAGAAGCAGCTAATGTGTAGTGGGAGGCAGGTGAAGTCCAAGGTGAGACCAGGCACCTTGTGCCAGAAGGCAAAGTGCTCCAGTGGATGGGTGTGCATCAAAAGGTCAGGCATCAAGCATGAAAGTCCCCTACTGCAGACTAAAAACTATGGCTCAATTTACTGTAAACGTGAGGAAACAAGCCCAGAATCGTACTGATACAGTGATGAAAGGGAGAGACAGAGACAGAAGAGAGCTTTGCCGTGGTTGGAGGACAAGGCGCCGGCATAGACCTGACTCCCGGGGGGACGGCACGGGGCTATGAGGGCTCCGCAACCCTGCAGCCAGACGGCACAGCTGTCCG